TCCTATGAGGGATGCCTGACACAGATGTCTCTTTTTACCACTCTTGTCTGTATGGATTATATGCTTCTGACTGTGATGGCCTATGACCGGTTTGTGGCCATATGTCACCCCCTGCATTATACAGTCATTATGAACCCTCGTCTCTGTGGCTTCTTAATTTTGGGGTCATTTTTACTGAGTCTTTTGGACTCCCAGTTGCACAATTTGGTGATCTTAAAAGTTACCAGCTTCAAGGATGTGGAAATTTCCAATTTCTACTGTGACCCTTCTGAACTTCTGAATCTTTCCTGTTCGTACACCTACTCTAATATCATTGTCAAATACGTTCTTATTGTCATCTATGGCCTTTTCCCCATCTCAGGGATCCTTTTCTCTTATTATAAAATTATTTCCTCCATTCTGAGGATCCCCTCCTCAGGTGGGAAGTACAAAGCCTTCTCTACCTGTGGCTCTCACCTGTCAGTGTTTTGCTTATTTTTAGGAACAGGCATTACAGTATATTTTGGATCAGCTGTCTCACATTCTCCCAGGAAGGGTGCAGTGGCCTCTGTGATGTACACTGTGGTCACCCCCATGCTGAACCCCTTCATCTACAGCCTGAGGAACAGGGACATTAAAAGTGACCTGAGGAGGCTGCAGATTAGGACAGTCTAATCCCAGCTCCTGTGGGGTATGGTTGCCATGCATTTTTGAAAATGCAACAAAGACAAATACCTAGTCCTGTCCATGTGCCCCACATGCTAATTTCTCACCAAGTTTTATCGTAGAATGGTTGGAACTCATCCTGGGAAAAATTAAGGAATAGTTCTGTAGGTGTCTGAACCTTGAATGTGAATAGCTGTTAGAAATTAGTCTGTTTGAATCTGGAATGCCCCTCAAAGACTTGCATGTTAAAGTCTTTGTCCTAAGAACAGCAATATTCAAATGCTAGGTGAAAAGTGGATGTTCCATGAGACCTCTAACCTTATCTGTGGATTGATTCCCCCCTCCTCTTTTCCCTCTTTCCCTTTTGTCTTCCTTCTTTTCTTTTTTCTTTCTTATTTCCAATACAAGTTTTCCCTCCTTTAAGTGATTTTCCTCAGGTATTTTTTCACAGTAACAGAAAGGTGACTAACACAGAAACCAAACAACTCGGGTGCATCCACATATTATATTAAGGCTCACTTATATGGTATGGAGAAGCACAGGAATTTTGAAAGTTTCATTGTAATCAGAAACTAAAAAAACAAATGATGTTTGTCTCTGGGGTAATGCCACATAGCATTTTAAAGCTTTCAAAATAAATGTATGTACTAGTTAGAGAAACTTTAAACTACATGTTGAAACAAATCAGCACATTGCAGGGCAATAGGTGTTTTGTTGCATACTACCAAGGTGAGATTATGTACTCTTTAGGCATGTGCTTAAGAAAACTGTTTATGTATACAAAAATAAATGCAGATATGAAACCAGTGCCAGGAAAATCTACCCTCAAAATTTCTGACAGTAATTGCCTCTGGGGCAGAAATATGCAAGAGGATAGCATCATACAGAGATGCCAAAACCTGAAATTTTATAGGAATTCATTAAAACTCCTACAAGATTTAGTTGTCAAGAACAGTGATTATAATTTTTTTTGATGATGAAGTGGATTTCTGCAGTTTTTCCTTGACATTTTTATCGGTGCATTTTAGTTGTGTGCAGTGTTGGGATCTATTGTTACATATTTGTACATGCACACAATATAACAACAGAATTCGGTCAGTATAGATCCCCAGCACTCCCCCTTCATCCCATCTTCCACTCCTCTCCCCGTTCATTTCCTCTACTCTCCTGACCTCCCTTTGTCATGCAATAACCCCTGTCTTTCTTTCCCTTTCTCCTCTATAGCTTCCACAAATGAAAGAAAACATGTGATCCTTGACCTTCTGAGTTTGACTTACTCCACTTAATGTAATGTTCTCATGTTCCACCCATTTTTCTGCAAATGACATAATATCATTTTCCTTATGGCTCAATAAAACTCCATTCTGTATATTCACC